TGCTAAGTATTTAGAAAATAATACATACCTTGGATGAATGAAGGAAAGAAGGTTGAAATTTGATATTCTAATGATATAATAGTTGAAGAAGGATGAATGGAAAGTGAATAATCAAACAAATTTATAAMACAAAAAAGTAACTGATTGGCAACTCATTTATTCACTTTTTTTGAGTTTTCATAAATAGTGACGATGTTTAGGAATCAAAATCAATTGTATGACAATTGTACATGTTCAGGAATCAATTCCTCTTTTCATTTTTTTTTAGTTTTCATAAATAGTGACAATGTTCAGGAATCAGATAAAAATATACAAATTTTAACATAACCTGATAAAAATATACAAATTTTAACATAACAATTGTATAAATTTTTAATTTAATTATATAACCTGATAAAAATATACAAATTTTAACATATTAAATGTTGATATTAATTAATCTGAAGGTATAYAAGAGATCTATTTAATTATATAAATTGATAATAATACGTAAATTACGTAAATTTTAAAATAATACGTAAATTTTAATATATATATTTTAATTAAATAAATTAATACATAATATATAATAAGGGTTAAATATAAAATTTTACAAAATAAAGGATATAAATAAAAATGAAAATGTAAGTTAGAGGGTAAAAATTGTAAATTTACAAAATTAGATTTTTTAAAATTAGTGGGTCTCACACAAACAACCCTATTTCTATCAATAAAACTAAAACTACCCTATTTCTACAAATCCTTTTCAAAACTACCCTATTTTTGCAAAAAAACTCATGTGCCAACAACCAAACATGTAATTCGCTCTATGTCTTATTAAAATAAGAAACATTACGTATTTATAGTTATACAAAAACAAGTTATGAAATGCAGAAACACCATCATTTTACAATCAACCCTCGGTCACAAACATCCACGTCCTCATCGTTCTCGTCAGGAGCTTGCTTTCTTCCACCCCTTTTATCTCTCCCTCCCTCCATGCAACGTCTATTAAACAGGTAATTGAAACTTCAACCATTATCTTTCGGATCTGTCGATCGTTTTACATACTATTTGATGGATGTTCATCACAATTTCGTTTGCGGTTTCTTTGGCCTTAAATTGGTTACAATTCGATTCTTTTCGATGATCCATACCCATCATCCGTGATTGCCCTAAAACCGTTCTATTTTGACGTTTTTAATTTCAATTTCCAATGATTGGAAATACGTTTCATCGAATAAGTTTGAATTGATCAAGTTTGTATTTTCATATTGATGCAAAGAAGAAAAAGGTTGAATTTGAATGTGTAATGCTTAGGCTCTAAAAATGAAATGGGGAATTTATTTCTTGTCTGGGTTAATGAACACTGAAACTTAATTCAATTTCATTGTTTTTTGTTGTTTTTTTCTTGAATTTTCATTTAGCAAAGAGCCGTCTATTTTGAGTGAAAGTTCTAGTTGATGATTGTGGCCTGCAGGCAGACCAATGAGTTCTGGTACGATCATACTCTGTTCAAATTCTTTTATCATCTTATATGCATAACATATACTATATGTACTATGTCTGCAATTTTTCATCCTGAATTATCTGCCAAGGTTATGTAATTTTTACTGGTTGCATGGTTAGTGACATAACAGATTCAATGGGAAAGAATCAAATGTTACTTAGGGATCACCCGTTTTCTTTTGCCAATTGAATTTCTCTTTAGCTTTCTTTCTTTTTTCTATTTGTCTTAGTTATGCAGGCAAAGGGAAATTGTGCTCCAACAACAGCATTACATAGAATGCCTGGTTTTTGACCTCTTGGGTTTCCCGGTTCCCACCGCGGCGCAATTGTTCATCCATCATGGTCTATACCATTTTAGTTTATAGTTCTGCTTACAAAATGTTATGGCCATCACTCCATGATATATAACATCAAAAGTTTTCTATCCAAAAGAGATAGAAAGAGTAAGGCCTTAAGTCATTTCACTTGAACAAGGAATAGACCATTCTCTTGTATAATTGTGTGGAAAAAATATATTGAGAGGCTTTCTATAGAATTGGTGTCATAATGTATTGTTTTGCAGCACCAAGCTTAGAACACATACCACTTGTAGTAGCTTAGATATCAATGTTTTGATGCTAATGGCAACGTCAAATGCTCAAAAGCTATTAGGTTTTTTCTTGTTAAAAAGAAAGATGGTTCAACAAGATTTTTCACTCTTTTGGAGAAAAGGAACCTCTTGTTTCACTTTTCATACCCCGTCTCACAGACCCAATAATGATTATTTTTCAGATGACGCTAGGCACATCGTGGCATTAATTATTAAATATTTAGAGGCATATATCTTATGTTGGTTCCCAATCTCATATCAATAGTGTTGGCATGCAGAGTGAGATGTTCTTTACTCTAAGGGCAATATAGGATGTACCCCCCTCCTCCAGGTCTTTTCATACACTCCATATGTACCATTTTACAAAGTCCTCTTTAGTCTTTAACCTTATAATCCTAATGGACCCTTATATTATTTTCAACAACCTTATATTCTAGACCCTCCTTGTATCATGTGACGTGACAAAATGTTGCTGGTAGGTTGATCTTATAGACCTTACTAAAGTTTAGGGTGGGAATCATGCTGAAAGTGAGAGGATTTAAGCTACTTGAAATCCTTTGTAACAGTGTCCTAAACTGGCATGCCGAAGGGTTGTGGTTATCAATGTTAATTTTACACTCAATTTTTTCTATTTTTATTTTTTTGTTGTTTATAACCTCTAGGGACAAATGTAGATATATGCAAAACAATAAGAAATTTTTTATCTTGGACTAGGTTGGGTGAACTTAAAAGTGAAATTCATAGTAATAATAAGGTTGGAATGACAAAAGCAACAACGTCAACGCCCATCATGATTCTTGGACGTGAATGACGTATGCACATTAACTTCTAAAGCCAACTGATGAGATTAACTTGAATTTGCAAAGAAATTGGTAAGGAAACGTATGATTATATGGAATGGTTATTAACTTCCGAGTGGTTGATTCTCTCCTAGAAATTGTTTCTATAGAAAAGTCATAATCGTCCTATGAACACCGACCTCTCATTTATGCCCCCTACCGCCTCTATACGCTCTTCTACTAACTTCTCAACTAAACACCACAATGCCCAACGACCTGCCACCCCACATAATTACCCTTAATCCTTCTTTCTTCTAGAATATGTAAACGGAATGGGAGCCTAACAATACCCCCTCCGAACACATTCACCTTGTCCTCAAGATGATCGTCAGGAAATTGAACATTAAGCACGTCAAAATCCTCCCAAGAGGCTTCAAACAGTGGTAAATGGCACCACTTAATCAAAACTTCAACAGTTCCTGCATTGTTCTTCCGCTTTGTAAAACCACTTTTGGTTTATCGACTAATTTGAGGTCTTCAGTCAACTGAGGTGGAAATGATCATCCAATAAGAAGGGTTTCAATTTTTTCAAATGATGTCGGGTGAAATGCACTATCCAATAATCTCTGCAATTGGGAAATATGAAAAACGGAATGGATTTTAGTGTTTGGTTGTAAATTCAAGCGATACACCACCTTCCCAACACGTTCCAGCACCTCAAAAGGCCCGTAAAATTGGGCGGAAAGCTTTTCGTTCCTCTGTCCTCTTAATGATCTTTGTTGATAAGGCCTTAGTTGGAGGAACACCTTATCCCCCACTTCAAATCAGTCATCCTTGCTATGTGTATCCGCTTGTAGTTTCATCTTTTGCTGAGCACGAATCAAATGCGTTCTTAATTCATCCAACATGTTATCTCTTTCCAACAGCATCTCTTCCATTGATTGGACAACAACTGTTCCTGCTATATACTTCAAAATGCTTGGAGTTTCCCTTCCATATAGAGCCTTAAAGGGAGAACAATTTAGTGAACTATGAAACGTCATGTTATACCAATACTCAGACCATCCCAGCCACTTCTTCCGGTGGTTGGTTTCTTCGAGACAAAGCAACGTAAATATTGCTATAAACAACGATTCACAACTTCAAATTGCCCATTCGATTGAGGATGATAGGCTGTAGACAAAGATAGCTTCGTTCCTTGCAACTTGAAAAACTCCTTCCGCAAAAGGCTCAAAAAGACTATCCCTGCCTGTAATTATCGATTGAGGTATCCCATGTAGGCGTACAACTTCTTTGATAAACATTGCTGCTACTTGTTGTGCATGTTTTAAAGGCATAAAATGAGCACATTTACTCAACCTATCTATTGTCACCAGAATGGTATCCATCCTTTCAGACTTCGGCAAACCCTCTACAAAATTTACGATGACTTCATCCCATACCCTCATTGGTAAGGCAATTGGTTGCAATAATCCTACCGGTGACCCTCCTAAAATCTAGTTCTTTTGACAGACGGTGCAACTTCTCATAAACTCCTTGATGTCCTTCCTGATTCCAATCCAAAACAATTCTGCTCACTCTTTGAAACGTACGTTCTTCCCCCAAATGCTCTCCCAATGATGAACCATGGAACTCTTCTAAAGTCATTGGCATCAGGGACGAAGTTTGAGACAGAACCAGCCGGTTTTTATAGCACCACAACTATTAGCACACTGAAAAACCCTTGTTCTCTATTGTGCCTGATAGCAGATCATCTTTAATTTTTCCCAACAATACATCCTTTCTTACTTCTTTCTTAATGATCTCCCACCGTCTCCATTGAGGTCCTCCCATCACAGACATCATAGAACACTCCAAATCCCTACGTGACAGCGCATTTGCAGCCCTATTTATCACCCCCGACTTGTATACAATGCCAAATTCATAACCAAGAAACTTGATAACCCATTTATGATATTATGGTTCAATAACTCGTTCTAACAAAAACTTAAAACTTTATTGATACGATAAATTTCCTCCCTAACAAGTACGGATGCCACTTCAAGATTGTAAACACAATTGCCATTAATTGTTTACATAAATGGACTTTTGCCGAGCTCCTGTGCCCAAAACTTGGCTGTGGGGCGCTATTGGACGCTCGTTTTGCTCTAGCACTGCCCCCAATCTTCCACCTGAAGCATCCATTTCTATCACAAACGTCTTCGTGAAATCAGGCAATGCTAGCTCCGGTGCCGACATTAAAGTTCTCTTCAAAACTTCAAAGGTGGCTGTTGCTTCTTCACCTCGTCCAAATTTCTGTCTTTTAAGTAGATCTGTCAAGGGTCTCGTAATCTCTCCATGCCCCGCAATGAACTTTCTCTAATATTTGGTCAGTCCCAAAAATCCCTGTAATTGCGTAATAGTTCGTGGTTATGGCAATTGCAGCATCGCTTCGACTTTGGAATAATCCATTGCTACTCCCATGTGTGAAATAACATGGCACAAGTACCCAATCTCCGTTCTTCCAAACTCACATTTATTTTTATTTGCATACACTTAGTGGTGTATCAGCTGTTGAAGAACCACCCTTAAATGCCCACAATGTTCCTCCACTGACTTGCTATACGCTAGTATATCATCAAAGAATACTAGTACAAATTTCCTCAAATATGGCTTTAACACTTCATTCATCAAAGATTGAAAAGTAGACGGGGCATTCGTAAGTCCGAAGGGCATTACTAGAAACTTGGGTCCCTTATGAGTCCGAAATGCCGTTTTTGTGAACATCTTCTTTACGCATTCTAATTTGAAGATGCCCAACTTTGAAATCCAACTTGGAAATCGTATGATTGTATTGAATGGTTATCAAATTTTGAGAGGTTGATTCTCTCCTGGAAATTGTCTCTACAGAAAAGTGATAATCGTCCTATGAACACCGACCTCTCACTAATACCCCCTACCTCCCCTATACGTTCCTCCACTAACTTCTCAACTAAACACCAAAACGCCCAACAACGTGCCACCCCACTAATCAAAGTACCTCACTAATAAAGTCGAAAGACATGATTACCCTTAATCCTTCTTTCTTCTAGAATATGTAAACTGTATGGGAGCCTTAACACCAACTTCTTTCATATAGTCCTTGCAACATTACACTTCACTAACATTGCATTAACAAATAGCCTAGTCTCATCTTCAATAGTATACCTTAGATGGAGATGATACACCATGATATATCATCTTTATTGCATGCTTTCACACTCATTAGTTCAACCCAATAACAATAAGGAAAATATCTTTGTTGCTTGCTTTCACACTCATTAGTGAGTTCTTATGCATCTGTAATATTATGCACCTAATTGTAGGAATTATTTTACTAATCTAGAGCCCAACATATCACTTCTTGTGGTGCCCTATCATATGTCTCATCTGCATCAGTGAGCATGAGTGCATGCCATTTTTATGTCTCTTGGAACTCTTGTGAATTATCTAGTCAAGAAGATAACCTTAGTTCTTAATCTCTTTGTCGTATACCGGATTGATGTTTAGACGCCTTTGTCTTTAGCTCTTAACCTATGCTAACTAATTCACTCCAATATTTGATTATATGGCTTATAAGTGCTTGACCATTTGTTCCAATTTATTCTCTGTTTTGTCGATTTGGACCGACTCTCTATTATCACACTTCCTCTTGAAAATATTTATATAATCGTCTTGCATATGACTAATTAAATGCTTTTATGTAGCCGTTGGATTATGACAATTGTATTAATTGTTGGCATGATAGATTGAGGAACCCATCTCGATTATGCAGGTAAGAAAAAATTAAAAGATCTACTGCAGCAAAGTGATAATCGTACTTGTGCTGATTGCGGTGCGCCCGACCCTAAATGGGCGTAAGTTCTACCAACCTAAATTATATGGATGTTCTATCCTCAAGAATAAATTTTTATGCACATCGCCTTTCACTCATTGATGGCAATTTAAATTTATTTGTTTCAGAGCTTTTATGTCTATTTTTGCAACTAGTTACCCATCACTTATGCTTCTATTATAGTAACTTAGTAGATATGTTTTTTTGCATTTTATACGGTGTTGGAAAAGGCTTATGCCTAGTGCCTCTATGATGGATACTGAACACTGAGAATTACTTTTGGAACTTCAATGCATCTCCTTTCAACCATCATTTTGTTATACGGACAGTTGGAAATTTTTTGATAGCGATTACATAATCTTACATACCTATGGCATCAACCTAGTTGAATGATACTGCATAAACAACTACCTTATCCAAGTGACCAACATAGTTGCTACTAGTTTGCTTACTTTCTCAATGTTTATTTTCCGTGTTCCACCCGTATAGATCCCATTTGTTCATGAAGATATGATCCTCAGTGCATCACTACTACGTTAATATAGTTTACAACCATAGACGCTATGCTCATAAATTCTTGTGAACAGCTTAATGGTGTGCAAGCCTGTGAGTGTGCACTTATAACATTGTTCTATCCATGTCTTCATTTCAAAAAGATGAGGGGAAAAGTCAATAAGATGTCGGAGAAGCAAAATATATGAGATCACAAACGTAGATTGCTCGCGGCTAAGTATGAATTGAGACGAAAGCTTTATAAATTTGTAAAGATACCGATCGATCTAGTGATATGCGGGACAAACATCGTTAGAAGTTGTCCAAGTTGCGAAGAAATAGTTGTATTTCCACGGGTCACCTTATGTTTTCCATGTTACATTATAGTCGCTCTTCTTTATTGTGGTTGAGGCTACTCAACTATACCTTTTACGTCCTATTATAAAAAAATTAGTATCGGGAAGCTTGTAGAATCTTTGAAATAAAATAAGTATACGCTCTCTTTTAAAATCTTGCTTAATTCGATAATGTAACAGTTCTTACATTAATTGCACTGAAAGATAAAGATTATCATGTCCAAAGGATGATTAAACTATAGGATGAAAATAAACACAAAAAGAGATATTCGTGACCCTACTATCCAAGTTGGACAATGTAACATAAACATACCCAACTTGTCATAGATAAGATCATTATTTGATCCTCCAAGTAGCTTTCTTAAATTATCCCCAACTTGATGTGTTGCATATAGCAATACTTGCATGATATACGAAGGTTCATGTACTGATTATTTTGTTGGAACCATAATGGCAGTCAACTTCAATATGCTAAGTGCGTTTTGTAAGTCGACTTTAATATGCTTAGTATGTCTCTGAAAGAATTGTTCGTTAGAAATGGTGCATGATAGACTCGTTGGCGCAATATATTTTCTTTTACCCCGTTCCTGTTCAACCCTGTACCTATGCTGTTAATCGTGCCGCTATAGCAGTGGTATCGCGGTTCGCGGTGGCAAGATGAGTCGTGGTGGTCAAATTGCAGCCTCAAATCGCGTTGCCGTAAAAATAAGCTCTAATTGTTGCTATTTGACAACAATTTCTAGGTGGTATAGCAGTGATGAAAAAACCGCGATTTGCATGAGGGTTTTTGGGCTTATAGTCGTTGGGCTTATTCAATGTTCGTTTTTTTGTAGGTTTTTGGGCTTATTTTGCAGGCTTTAGTTATTTAGTATTTTAGTTTAGGCCAAATTAGGTTATGAATCATCAATCAACGTGTTCCAGATCATAAGCCTCGCCAATAGGTGTTCCTCTTGTCCTCTACTCTGCAATCGACACAATTCGAGTTACAAACTCATTTTTCCCATTTTGTTTGTGTGATACTTACTTGTTTAAGTTGATTTTTTGATGTTGAAACTATATTTTTAATGAATATATATGATTATGCTAAGTTATTATGCATACATATACATTATATAATTCTAATAATTATATGAAMCGCTATTTTTGGACCACTATGCCACTGCTTTGCCATTGTGATAACCGCTATTTCAAATCACAGTACTAACCGCGATTCGTATTTTGACCGTTGTAACAGCATAGCCCTGTACCGCGATTCGTATTATGCATACATATACATTATATAATTCTAATAATTATATGAARCGCTATTTTTGGACCACTATGCCACTGCTTTGCCATTGTGATAACCGCTATTTCAAATCACAGTACTAACCGCGATTCGTATTTTGACCGTTGTAACAGCATAGCCCTGTACCTCAGACTTAGGTTGTCTCAACCATTGCTTGGTATTTTGACTCGACACTAGATATGCGAACCCTATCATTCTTTTTAGTCTTCCTTGATATAAGATCTCCTTCAAAGCAAATGACAATACCTAGGATTCACTGATTATAAGAATCGTTGCTTGGTATTTTGATCTGACACTATACAAAGAAACGTCTTGTTTTTTAGTCTTATGTGATACAAATAGATTTATATGGATCACTTTTTGGATACCTCAATATGTGTAAAACTACATTATGCTATTTTTGTAAAACTAGATTTATATGGATCACCTTTTGAGAGCTTTTTTGTTCTTTGTGACTCTGAGATAGTTAAGTTTCCCAACTAGTCTCACTTTTACTATTATGGAGCTTCCCGTCTTCCGAGTAAAATAAGTTTCCCAACTAGTCTCACCTATACTATTATGGAGCTTCCCATCTTCCGGGTAAAACTTAGTGTTCAGAATCATAGGTGAGTTTACAACATCGGCTAAAGTGCCAAGAACGTTGTTTGTTTGACACAAAAATGTTCCTTTTTCGTAATCTCACCACCTTAAGTTAGCGTTTGGTATGCAGACATGATTCGACTGGACTGGACAGGACAGGACAAGTTGTATGCCTGGTGTTTGGTACGACTAAGGCTGGATAGGACAAGACCAGACAAGTTGCCGCTAAAAATTGTTCGATGATTTTATATTATATAATAGTTATAAATGACACAAATCAGGTAAATATTTAAATAATTTAATTTATAAACATTTTTGCACAATTTTCATATACCTAAATATATAAATATATAGTAGTACCAAATTTAGATGGACCATCTGATATATTGACACAAGCTCGAAAAAAGATGGTTCGTACAAAGGAAAAACTATGTTTTATTCGGTTTGGAAGATCTTTATGAACTGGCAGAGGCGCGGTGGAGGTTGTTGTAGCAACAATGGTGGTGGGGTAGAGGCGGTGGTGACCGGTGGACGATGATGAATGTGGAGGATGTGATAATGGTGAGCAATGGTGGTAGTGGGTCAACAGTGGTGGAGGAGGTAGTTGTGGCTGATGTCGTGGATGTAGATGTGTTGGTATGCAGTGGTAACAGTAGCCGATGGTGGTGGTGGCGAACAACAGTGACTATGGAGGATGTAAAGATCATGGCAAAGAGGCATAGTGGAGGTTGTTGTAGCGACAATGGTAGTTGAGGTAAAGGAGGTGGTGGCTAGTGGCCAACGGTGACTGTGGAGGATGTAAAAATAGCGGACAATGGTGGTGTTGAGATAAACTTGGTAATTTGTGTATTGTATATGTAAATCACGATTAGAATCAGGGATATATATAAGAGATACATTTACATTCTAGACTCTCTAATATAATTATATATATATATATATCACACTTAATTGTCTAATATTCCCCCGCAAGCTAAGGCCGGGGAGCGACCTGTAGCTTGGACCGTAATAGGAGAAACGTTGTGAAGGTAGTGGCTTGGTGAACACGTTTGCAATTTGATCATCTGTAGATATAAAATGAATTGAAAACTTCCGCTACGCAAGCATTTCTCGAACAAAGTGAAAGTTAACTTCTACATGCTTGGTACGGGCATAAAAGACAGGATTAGCTGAAAGATGCGTAACACCAAGATTATCACACCATAAGGTAGGAACCGACTTCACAGGAACCTGGAGTTCGGGCAGTAGTGTTTGGAGCCATGTGAGCTTAGCAACAGTATCGGCTAGAGCCTTGTATTCAGATTCTGTTGATGACCGAGAGATAGTCCTTTGTTTTCGTGCAGACCATGATACTAGGTTTGAACCAAGCTAGATAGCATATCCCCCAGTGGATCGACGGTCGCCGGGGAAACTGGCCGATCAGCATTGGAGAAGCCAGTCAGGGAGTTGTAAGCAGAATCAGTGTAGGCATGAAGGATTGTGCCTGAATCATGCATGATTCGTAAACCATAGTCAGCAGTGCCCTGCAAGTAACAAATAAAAGAATTCGTTTGACTGTCGTCCAATGATTTTCAGTGGTGGAGTGCATGAATTGGCAGACTTTGTTGACCGCGAAAGTAATATCCGGACGAGACAATGTCACATACTGAAGGTCATCCACAATTTGGCGGTACTTGGCCGGCTCAGCAAACGTAACACTATCTCCAAGAGCAAGATTAGCATAAGTGGTCATAGGAGATGAAGTCGGTTTAGCATTAGACAGGCTTCGCATTGCAAGAGTTTAAGGATGTATTTCCGTTGTGATAGAATCATATGATGATCCTGACCGGCTACTTCAATACCGAGAAAATAAGACACGCGGCCCATATCCTTAACAAGAAAGGATTGGCTAAGACGTTGTACCACTTTGTCAATAGCCTCCGAGTTGTTTCCTGTCAAAAGAATGTCATCAACATAGACTAGCATGTACAAAATGGTGCCCCTGTGGGAGTAAATAAACAAGGAAGGGTCCATTTTGGAGCCTTGAAAGCCAAGAGAATGAAGGAGCGTAGAAAGTCGATGAAACCACACTCTAGGGCCTGCTTTAATCCATATAAGGATTTGTGAAGTAGGCAAACATGATCGGGTTTGTTCGGGTAACGAATCCAGGTGGCTGTTGCAAATAAACTGTCTCTTTGAGATCACCATGTAGGAAGACATTTTGCACATCAAGTTGTCTTAGGGACCATTTCTGTGTTGCTGCCAGAGATAGAACAACATGTATGGTGGTCGATTAGACTAGTGACTAATGTCTCCTGATAATCAATG